AATTAATGATGTGTCACGTTATTAAATTGAATGTTACACATCCACGAAAGTAATTATATCGCGTTAAATTGTTACATGATATTTGTATCTTGTAACACACATATTTAGGTCCGAAATAATAAAATGAGTTTATCACATTATTGATCAGATATATAGATCTATATCGTGTTAATGGGGCTGTGCAATGAAATTATTTTTAGAATTTCAATGTGTACGACCACATGATCATAATTCATACATGTGTAAAATTCCTTGGCGTAAATACTGATATTGCATAGAAAAATTTCTCACCTTTGCAATTTATCAAAAATTAATAATGACTTACTTACCCGTTAAAGACCTTTTAAACTCATACCAAGCATTAGTGAAAAACTCATCAATACAACAAGATATTTACAATTTTTATATATTTTTAGCCTTGAGAAAGCAATTGACTTTTAGAAGAAGTGAACTAGTGCAAATTAATGCTATTTTCAAGAACAACTATGATGGAAGTATCGTTTTTTTAATAATGATTTAGTAAGCGTATCGAGGATGACTTAATTTGCTGTAATGATGGAATTCTGGTCTTTCTAAAGTTATTATCTGTGTGTGGCCACACAAATAACATTTCTTGATTGCACACATCAAATTTTCTGACCAGCATGTATATTAAATATATTATATCACTTTCATTGAAAGCCTTGGTTAATATATTAATGTAAAAAAAGAAAAACGAAATTTGCTTTGCTGGTATTATATTAGCCACTCTCGTTGAGAGCTTTGCGTTAATATAATTATATACCAAAAAAGTTTTCTAATAATTTTTTCTGAGATTTTTTAAAATTATATTGACGTTTACAGTATAAGACAATATTATAAACTAATGTTATTTCATATATTTGCATATTTTAGGATGTGAAATTTATTAATACGTCAAAAGCATTTTATTCATATATCAAAACTTTAAAAACCTCTTCCGCCAAATATTGGAAATTTATTCAAGAATGCGCAAAAGAAAAGAATATCAAATATCTATATCAGAAAATGGAGATGAATGATGATGGTGATAATTATGATAATGCTGTTGGTATTGATCACAATGTCTGTGGTGATGGCGCTGAGAGTGATGATGATAGTTTATACTCCGATACAGATGATGTTACGGAATCCGAAAAATCAGTTGAAGATTTGTCAATTGTAGAATTTAACAGCATTGAAATAAAAGAAAGATTTATAAATGTAAACATACCTATGCTCAAGTTAATTCTGTTATTATGAAGTGGTTGTCGATGAAATGTGTCAGAGAACTACTGACTCATTTACTTATTATTTTTGTTAGTTTATCATGTCCTTTCCTAAGATGTCCACTTCATCGAGGTTGATTTGTGACAACATAAAAAACACAAATCTTGTTCCTGAAGATTTGCTTTCAAATGGCATTGTTAATAAAGACTTTTTAAAAAAATACCACAATCCAATCTTTAAAACCATAGAAAGTTATAATTGTATTAATGAATTGTACTCGTATGACTCTGATATGGGGTTTGTACTAGGAAAATTAACCTTCCAGACAATAAATCTATTTTTAGTAACAACCCTTATAAATTTGGTTACACATATGTTTTTAATATATAAAGAAAATATTCCAAGCCTTGTATCTCATTTTTCTACTATGCAATCAGGGTCCAATTTTTTCACCAACTGTAAATCCTTTATTAGAGATTATTGTTGAGTAAAAAGACAAAAAAAAAAAAAATAGCTGGAAGCTCGATTTTCCTAGTACAGACCCCATATATTTAAAGTTGAATTAAGTAATAATGAGAAGGAAATTATCCATTCACGTATCAAAAATGGATATGCAACAATGCAAAATCTTCGGGAATGATTATAACAATAGGAAATTTTACAACGCACTAAGTTCTTTTTTAACTCAATTGGAATTGGTTTGGAAAATGCCACTATATCAACAAAAATCACCTGATCTTAATGAGAGATCATATACACATCAGGTCATCAAGTGTATTTTTGATTTTATGTTTTATAATATAGAACATGTCAACTTAGAATACGACAGTAATTTGTTTATTTTCTTAACTGAATTTATGAAATAAATTTAATCCTAAATAACTTATATTAAAATTTTATTTTATTGAAAGGACAAAGCGAGTCTACTAAAAATAGGAATGGGGGTAATTCAGGACCAATTCGACTTCCTGATGTGATGATCTCAAAAAAATACGAAGGATCCGATCACAAGTGGGAATTTGCATTTTCAGAGGTCAGTTATGCCCCATATTCGTTTGAGGAAGATCACTATTTAGAAGATATAACACGACAAGCTAAATTTTCTAAAGATGATTGGAATCATGGATTAAAATATATACAAAGTCATAATATACCTGAAGCCAAAGAAATCTGGGATAAATTTAATCATATAATAATCCATTTCTATAAAACAATGATGGACATTTACGTTCTAGACCGTGTAATGAAACCATTTCACAGAATGGTCTTGGTCAAATCAATAGAAATACCATTGTTAAATAATAATAATGATTTCGCAATCAAACAAGTGAGCAAACTATGTGAATCGATACTATTTGCAAATAAATTAATATTAGAAAATATTAGACACATAGATTCGATAAATCAATTATTGATAAACAAATCACCAAGGACACTAGCAACACCAGAAACAGCAGAACAAGGGAGCATAATCCTGACGATTAACTCACCGAATGATTATGCTTATTATATTTAAAATTATTATGTGGTTTATTTTAACAATAAAAATATAGTTTATTATTTGACAATAGGATTTTACTTTTGTTTCACATGTTGAGTGATAACCTGCTAATCTCTTTTGTCTTGCAGTTGAAGGTTATCTTGATTTTCATTGATAAGTTAGTTATGGAATTATTTGTGGATTCATAACCGTTTCCACAATTATGTATTAATGATTTTTTTCTTTACAAGATGGTCAGTCAATAATTACGTCAGGGAGCCATTTTACAAATCGCATTTGATAAGATAAGAAATGATGCCTCACAAATCCTGCTTAATTTATATTGCTCCATTTGCTAAACCCGAGAATCTACTATTAAAAGAAAAAATTACATGATTAGTAATTATGTTACCCTGACCATTTCTCAGATCCTTTCTTTGCAAGGCAATTCTATTAGAATCACAAGTGCCAAGAACTGAATATATTTCGTCATTTATGGGAAATTAAACCTTTCAGTCTGATGATCGCTTTTGTAGAATAAAAAATAAGACAAATTTTGGTGATCTCGGATCTCAAGTCCTGTAATATATGAATTTTGATATTATTGCTGATAAAGAGCAATAAACTCTCCTCATTCATATCCTTTTTGAGTCTCATTTGTATTTTTTCTTATCGGTAAAGCTATATACAATAAGGAAAAGGCTTTATTAATTCCATAATCTATAAATATAGTGAGAAAATAATTTAGCAGTATCACAAATTAGTCTTGTGGAACAAAATAATTATGTGTCAAGAAACACTAGCTCCGCTATTCCCTGAATTCCACAAAATCGTTATTTTTTTCACGAAAAATAAACCTGGTTCTATCATTATATCGAACAAAAATGAATTGTGATATTCTATACTATAAACTTGTTAAAATCGTATATAAGTCTTATAATCCTTTATTTCTATAAATTATAATCGCCAAATATGTCAAGTTTTGATATTTCTATTATTCTCGGTAATAAAAAAAGACAATTACCCAAACCAATTAATAATAGTCCCGGATATGATATGAACTACCTCACTTCATACTTTTCAAAGTATTGTAGTGGAAGACCCAAGAATTTCTTTGAGAATGAAAGAGCATATGATACATTATCACGAATCCGATTCAATGAAACTCCACAACAATGGGCCATCCGTGTAAGAGTTCCTTTACAAGAGCTGATTTCTGAGAAAAAAGGAAGCTTTTATCACAGATATTGCTTATTTGCGTCATTTGGAAAAGGGAAGATAGTCGATTTTGAATACTATCGCCCTAAAATTCATAAACCCATATGGCCATATGTTTTGATTGTATGAAGCTTATTAAGATTGATGATGTGAAACCTAGAAAATCTTTTGACTATCTTTATCGAAGATTTATCGAAATTGTTGAACCCAAAGATTTGATGCAACATCACTGGGATACAGAGTGTTCCAAACCTAAAACTATGGATGCTTCAGCAAGAATTATACAAAGTGCTTGGAAACGATTCCGAGGAAGAGTACCATCAAATGTGCGACTTGTATGGAACAGCTTACCGAATGATAATACTCCAGATGATAAGAAATTTCTAACATTAATTCCATGTAAAATAAAAAATCCTGTATCTTTAAATCAAATTAAAATACGTCTTAATAAAGAATATGCCGAGTATATAAAAAAATATAATAGGTATCCTTATGATGCTGAATTTGAAATTAGTATGTATCAGGATTATATCATTCCATATGATTGGATAATTCGTAAAAAGAGTCAATTGCGGTCTAGATTCCAAAAGCGACTTTTAGAAATAGAAGCATAGTATTTAATAAATTATATAATTTAGTTACATAACCTATCTATTTAAAATAAAACCACCTAAAGTATTCCTTGAGGCTAGTACTTTAGATTTTATTTCGATACCCCTTGAGGCTGGTATCTTTTTTTGTACCAGATTCCCATGTAAACCGAAAATAGTTACTTTATTAGATTTTGCAACATCTATTACTATATAGGTTTCATGTCATCAAACTAATTTGGCTAAGTTCATAGAACATCTACATCGTGCAAATATGGTCAGTTGATGTCT